ATATATATATATGTATATATATATATACATATACATATATATATACAAAAAAGCGAGCGGCAGTTCTGTGGGTCAAAATGCCTTGTTAATGACAGACACCACTCCTGTCAGCTAAGAACAGGAAACTGAGAATACAGTGGGCACAGGCTCACCAAAATGCCTCATCAAGACATTTGGAAAAACGTTGCCTGGTCTGACGAATCTTGATTTCTGCTGTGACATGCAGATGGTAGGGTCAGAATTTGGTGTTAACGTGAATCCATGGATCCATCCTGCCTTGTGTCAAGAGGTTCAGGCTGGAGGTGGTGGTGTAATGGTGTGGGGAACATTTTCTTGGCAACTGAGCATCGTTTAAATGCCACAGCCTACCTGAGTATTGTTGCTGACCATGTGCATCCCTTTATGACCACGGTCTACCCATCTTCTAATGGCTACTTCCAGCAGGATAACGCGCCATGCCACAAAGCACATGTCATCTTAAAATGGTTCCAGGAACATGAGTTCAGTGTACTCCAATGGCCTCCACAGTCACCAGATCTCAATCCAATAGAGCACCTTTGGGATGTGGTGGAACGGGACATTCGCAGCATGAATGTGCAGCCGACAAATCTGCAGCAACTGCGTGATGCTATCATGTCAGCATGGAGCAGAATCTCTAAGGAATGTTTCCAGCACCTTGTTGAATCCATGTCACAAAGAATTCAAGCCGTTCTGGGAGCAAAGGGGGGTCCTACCCAGTATTAGAGAGGTGTACCTAATAAAGTGGCCACTGAGTGTATATATGTATATATATAGTTTGTTTAAGGCTAACATATTGAATTGTCTGGTTCCTTTATACACTTCCAGACCTCCACATGCATAGTAGAGATGGAGTAAATGGCTGATATATCAATATCTTCAGTTAATACGTCAATACCTGCAGTTAATATAACAGTAATCATGATTAATATGATAATGACTGTGATCAACATTTCATGAAGATGGCGGCGCGTGCACATCGCGAGGCTCAGTGTCTTACCAGATTTCGCAAAATAGTGTTAATTTATCTGGTTATTTCCTGCGTGTTCGCCCGATTCAGCTATGCGAACTTCACATATAGCAAACAGATACTTTTGGACATCTATTATCGGTGCAGCAGCACAGTTTTTGATCATCCATTCAACTTCGATGAACTACCACCGGAGTTAGAGAGGACGCCACGGACCTGCGGACAACTCATTCCGTGACGGAAGTATCGGCGTCGCCGTCGAGACCGTAAACAAAGACGGGGGAAGCGCGGTGGTGTGCGGGCTAAACTAAGGCTAAATCCACACCGGCCAGCTTTACCCAGCATCTTCCTCGCCAATGTACGGTCTCTGGCGAACAAGCTGGACGAACTCAGGACTTGGACCCTCACACAGAGAAGGCTTATGGATTGCAGCTTCATGTTTTTCACGGAAACATGGCTTAACAACGATGTCCCGAACATCGCGGTGGAACTGGAGGGGCGCACGGTCTTCAGGGCTGACAGAGCTGCAGCAGCGACAGGTAAAAGCAGGGGCGGTGGTTTATGCATCTATGTGAATAAATCATGGTGCACCGACTCTACCATTGCTGAAACTTATTGCTCTGCTGATCTGGAATACCTGATTATTAAGTGCAGACCCTTTTATCTACCGCGAGAGTTTACATGCATCATCGCTGCCGCAGTTTATGTACCACCGGATGCAATTGCTAAAGTTGCCATGAAAGACCTCAGTGCCGCTATTAGCAAACTGCAGACATTGTATCCAGACGGGGCCTTTATTGTTGCTGGGGACTTCAATCACTGCAATCTACGTATCGTGCTTCCAAGATTTCACCAAAATGTCTCATGCACCACAAGGGGACATAAAACCTTGGATCATGTCTATACAAATGTGGCTGACGCCTACAAAGCCACTCCCCTCCCCCACCTGGGACAGTCTGATCATCTTTCATTGTTCCTGTTTCCCAAGTACAGCCCGGTCATTAAACGTGTGAAACCCACAATGAGGGCTATCAAGATCTGGCAGGAGGGTGCTGACTCTGCTCTTCAGCACCAATTCCAGCACACAGACTGGAGTGTGTTTGCTGCCCATGCTACCACAGACTCTCAGGTCAACATTGACTCTTACACCAACTCTGTCCTGGATCACATCAACAGGTGTGTGGACAGAGTGACAACACAAAAGCAGATAAAAGCTTTCCCCAATCAGAAACCCTGGATGAACAGAGAGGTTCGCCTCCTGCTCAAAGCCAGGGATGCAGCCTTCAGGTCTGGAGACCGGGAGGCTTACATCTCAGCCAGGGCCAACCTGAAGAGGGGAATCTCTCAGGCTAAACATACATACAAACTCAGGATCGAAGAGCACTTCAACTCCTCAGACCCCCGGCGCATGTGGCGTGGCATACAGACCATCACGGACTTCAAACCACCCAATACTGTGCCGCCATCCAGCTCTGCCTCCCTCCCTGACGAGCTCAACCACTTCTACGCCCGCTTTGACCGGGGAAACAAGGAGGTCACCCACAAAGCGGATCTCCCTCCTGGTGAACTGCCTCCCTCACTCTCCATCTCTGATGTTAGCGCCACCCTGAGCAGGGTGAATGCAAGGAAGGCAGCTGGCCCGGATGGAATACCTGGCTGGGTGCTCAGAGTCTGTGCAGGGCAGCTGGGCCGGGTCTTCACAGACATTTTTAATCTGTCTCTGGCCCAGGCAGTTGTCCCCACAAGCTTCAAGACCGCCACCATTGTGCCAGTGCCAAAGCACTCCACTGCTACGGCCCTGAATGACTTCCGCCCGGTTGCACTCACCCCCATCATTGCAAAGTGCTTCAAAGACTGGTCTTAACTCAACTGAAATCCTGTCTGCCCACTACCCTGGACCCCCATCAGTTTGCCTACCGCACTAACAGGTCGACAGAGGACGCAATCTCCACGGCACTCCACTCTGCCCTGACCCACCTGGACAGTCCCAACTCCTACGTCAGAATGCTGTTCATTGACTTCAGCTCAGCATTCAACACTGTGTTCCCCTCTAAGCTGATCTCCAAGCTTAGCCAGCTTGGTATTAGCACCTCCCTCTGCAACTGGACTCTGGACTTTCTGACTAACAGACTCCAGTCTGTTAGGTTAGACAACCTCTCCTCCTCCACTCTCATCCTGAACACCGGCGTGCCACAAGGCTGTGTGCTGAGCCCTCTTCTGTACTCCCTCTTCACCCATGACTGCACTCCTGTACATGGTTCTAACACCATAATCAAGTTTGCAGACGACACCACGGTGGTAGGCCTGATCAGAGGGGATGACGAGACGGCCTACAGGGATGAGGTCCAGCACCTGGCCACGTGGTGTGCCGACAACAACCTGGCCCTTAACACCCAGAAGACCAAGGAGATCATTGTGGACTTCAGGCGAGCTAGGAGCCATGCGCACGCCCCCATCTACATCAACGGAGATGTAGTGGAGCGTGTATCTAGCTTCAAATTCCTTGGCGTCCACATCTCTGACGATCTCACCTGGTCCCTGAACTCCTCCACTCTCATCAAAAAGGCGCAGCAGCGCCTTTACTTTCTCTCGGAGCCTTAAGAAAGCTCACCTGTGTTCTAGAATACTGGTGGACTTTTACCGCTGTACTATTGAGAGCATACTCACCAACTGCATCTCAGTGTGGTATGGCAACTGCTCAGCATCAGATCGTAAAGCACTACAGCGGGTGGTGAAAACTGCCCAACGGATCACCGGCACCCAATTGCCCACCATTGAGAACATTTACAATAAACGCTGCCTGGGCAGGGCAAAAGCATTATCAAGGATGCATCCCACCTAACCAGGGACTTTTTACTCTCCTTCCATCAGGCAGGCGTTACAGGAGCTTCCGCTCCCGCACCAGCAGGTTCAGGAGGAGTTTCTTCCCTGAGGCTGTGACCCTGCTGAACTCCACACCACAGCACTAAGCATCATTGCACTAATTGACTGCACTGTCTCTGTACTTTTACTGTCATATTTGCACTGCTGTACATACAACCATCTGTAAATATCTGTCAATACTGTACATACAACCCTTATATATACTCTCCCCTTTCCAACCCTGTCCATTTCACCCCCCTATGTACAACACAATAATATATTATACATATTTATTATCTGTTAACACTGTACATACTGTAAAATATAACATTTCCTATACTTTCTGTAAATAATACTTGTTTTTGCACTTCTGGTTAGATGCTAACTGCATTTCATTGGCTTTGTACCTGTACTCTGCACAATGACAATAAAGTTGAATCTAATCTAAAATTAATATATAAAACGTGTTAAAAGGGGGCAAATTACCTCAACAGTTACAAGACCAACACTTTACTGTTACACCACTCTGCAGTTACCAGTGATTCTACAGGAGAGAGACTCTGCAAGAGAGTAAAAAAAATTCAGGGGAGACTAGCAACTCTGAGTGAAAGACCAGCCACACTGCAGGAAAAACCAGTAGCTCTGAAGTAGCCAGGCCTGGATGGGAGCCCCCAGAGCAGGCTGGGGAAACTTTGTCACTCCTGCAGATGGGGCAGCACTCACCGCTCTTGCAGATGGGGCAGCATTGGTCGGGCTCGTACTCCGGGTCCACGCACTCAGTCTGGGCACAGGCCGCCACTGTGCACAGCACCTCTCCATTTGGTTCACAGCGGCACTTCTCACAGGCAGACACCTGGGGGCACACAGTAGAGCACTGTTACAGCAGACTAGAGACACAAGGGGCTCATCCTGCAGGGCTGTGCTCTCTCTAACCAACTCACTGCATAAGCCTGTTGAAGGCTGGCATGCAGCCTTTCAGGTCAGGTCTGCACTGACTACTTAAACTATTCCACAGCATCCATTACAAATCTCCATTTAGATTTTTACAATACAATTTCCACAGTCCAAAAAAGGTAATGGTGAATAGATACAAACACAACTCTGAGGAATAACACACAACACTCTCAGTTATGTAAATGATATATCAACAGGCTCAATGGTCTAGGGGTACAATTCTCGCTTTGGGTGTGAAAGGTCCTGGTCAAATCCTGGACGAGCCCTGGCTGGTAATATTGATGTGTCCACTTGGAAATGAAGCTGTGTGAGTTTTACCTGAAACACTTCCCCCTATCTCCTATTAAACTATATAAAAATGTAATGGTTTGGCTGTAATAGATTAACGTAATGGTTTGGTTGTAATGGCTTATCGCACTCGCTAGCTTTACCTGCTAGTTGGTACCTCGCCTGCCCGACCTTTGGAAATTTGTCATGCAGTACTTCTAATATTGTTGACTCTGTATGGTTTTTCACTTGTGTTGTATTGTACCTCACTTGTAAGTCGCTTTGGATAAAAGCGTCTGCCAAATGAATAAATGTAAAATGTAAATGTAATCAACAAATAAATCACAAACAATTTCAGTTGTTCTGCATGACAGAACATCTCAAAAGAAACCAGTGTTTTCTAGAAGATTTTCAAGCCCTTATATGGCTGCACTCAGTTTCATATTTGCTTAGGGCCCATAATAGTGCACCCAGGTTCATAATATTAGCACACTATTCTTGGAAGAAGCTGACTCAATCGTGAATGCAATTTGCTTGTAGTTAATTTTGTTTGCCAAAACTGCAAACTGATTAGGGATGATTTTCACCAACCAAATTTTCCTTAGGCATTTGATAGAGCTTGGTACAAGGACAGCTTTCATTGGGTTACATTACAAATTCTCTGCAGTTTTGTAATCACAACAGAGTTTCGACCGATATGGTTTTTTTCAGGGCCGATATGATAATGATTATCTGTGACAAAAAGAGGACGATAACCAATATTTCAGGCCGACATTTGAATGCTTTTAACATGTTTTTTTCGGTGTGAAAAGGCATACATCACCACTGTGAAAGTTAAATAAAGAGCAAAAAGATCAAATGAAAATTCTTTCTCAAAGATAAAAATAAACTAAAAATTGCAATAACTAAAATGTGCATTGTAATATTGACATTGTGGGTAAATTTCTCTATGGTTATCTTATTTTGGCTACACAACAGATGCCTCTCGCTATTTCAAAAGCATTCAATTACCGGATGAATGATGGCAATCATTGCGTAAGAAATAAAGCGAATTGATACATCATTTAGGCTGCATTTTCATCATAAAGTATGAAATATCAAACCTTACAACTAGCCTGTGCGTCCATGCCTTTTCTGAAGCTGCAGGGAGATTCTAGGAGCCCATTTCTTCATAAGTCATTTTTGTGAAAAATGGACAGCTCATACAAAAGTAAGGTACCGTGTGGAAGGACTGTGATAAAGTTAGCGACAATACTGTGAAGTGCAAACTGTGTGCTGCAATTTTTTTTATTTTAATAACTCGACTTCTATGATGATGATGAGGCCAAATTAAGACACATCAAAGCAGCAAATGGATATTTTTAGCTTTGCCGCGAGGTTCTGACATATAGTGCAACCGCAAGCGAGCTGAAGTTTAATTTCGTGAACGGTTGCTTAAATGATGACTGTAATTCAGAAGGGCTGTGCTTTACGGTAAATTTATTTGAATGTTTCATTTGAAATAATAAATATGCATTACTATTTGTTAAATGTGCAGTGTAAAACTGTTGCAACTTATAGCATAAGTGCACCAACTAGTCCTTATTACAAGTCCTTATTTCTTTTATATTCCAAGCTTGTGTTTTAGCTTAAGCGTAGACTACTTATACTGATTCAAAAAGGTCCAATTAGCCTAGTGCAATGTGGTTAATGGTATGGTTTGAGCACAACGACCATTTTACTGGATACTTACCTTCCATCCTTGTTTCCAACAGCTGAAAACGTATGATTTTCAAGGTCAGATAACGTCTGTCTCGGCCAATGACAGAATTTTGTGGAAAGCATGTTAGCCAATAGCATTTTTTTCTGACAGAGGAGATGCATCGGGAAAGTACACGCATTGCTTTTAAAAATTTTGGAATTTCGATATCGGCCGATTATCTAACGACCAGACAATCGGTCGACCCCTAAATCACACATTACACTTTGCAATTAACTTCAGCATCAACAAAAGTTTTTTACAAGAACACTGTGCAGAAATTTGTGCAATGTACTGCTTCTGTTGTTCCAGTGTTATCTGACCAGTGGCTAACCTCAAATCCACAGCCTCAGTAGGTCCTCTCTGAGTTCCATAACAGTTCCAATTTTTTGTAGAACTTGAAAAATTTTGACCGCAGGGAGCTCAATATCTTAAGATCAACAGATGTTGTATCCTGCATATGTCTTGAACAATACATTATGCTCGTGTTTCCCAAAAACTAGGTCGCGACCCCCAGGTGGGTCGCAGATTTTATTTGGGTCGCCAAATAAATTTGCAGAATTTCTTCCATGGCCCACCTATCACATCCTTTCGCGCGTACGGCTGTGTTCACACGTAGTGTCTTTTTTGAAGCTGTCAGTGTCTGTTTTACATAATAATCCAATGGAGTAGACCGTGTTTTCAAAAACGTCCGGAGCATTTTTTTTATGCAGCTTAGGGCGTTTTTTTTTCCAGTTGAAAAAATTCAACATCTCAGAAAAAAACGCCCTACGTCAAGTGCTTTTTTGACAGCTGACCAATCACAAGCGGAGTAGTGACACCTGTCGTTTCCCATAACAACCACCAAAAATGGAGAACGTAGCAGCAGAGAAGTTAGTTGTGCTAGTTTCTGAGCACAGTGAACTGTACAACATGACAGTTAAACTGTATCATAACATTCATCATAAAGATGCCGTTTGGAGTCAAATTGGATGGATCCTAGGAGTTTCTGGAAAGTGTTTGTGTTTACTGCTTGTCGTTAGCAAAACTAGCCTGTTAGCTAACGTTAGCTCTGCAACAATGTATAGCCAGCTAAATCGCTAACAATGTACATGCTACTGTTATGGCAACAAAAGATGCTCTCAACTGCTTTTTGGACAGCGTTCCTTTACTTGAAAAAATGCTCTGGCCAGTGTTTTTCATCAAAAAAGACGCTACCTGTGAACACAGCCTAAGATCATACTGGTGTGATTAGCCGTTTAGCGCGTATGCTAAAACTGGTGCGATTAGAAAGCTAGATTGGAAGAATTCTAGCTAATTTTAGCTTTGATGAAACGGCGATTTAACATTAAAAATATAGCAAAAGCGGCGGGGAAAACAACGAGAAGCTTAATAACGTTAATGAAAACATAACAAACCATAACACGCGCGCTACATAGCATAAAATAAGTTACGTGCGAAAGGGTTAGCCAGGTAAATAGCACATAATGTGCCTAATGAGATTTGATGTGGAATAGACCTGATGTGGTAAACGAATTGATTTACTGTTTGAATAGCTGCACACTTGTTCTGATAATAGGCATGAGCATTTCAAAAAACTTTAAACAAGAAGCATGTTTTTGATAGTTCTGAATGTTCGTATTGTTCTGATAGTTGTACTTACAACATTGAATCTAGTATGAAAGGCTAGCGTAGGCCTACATTCTGTTTCTTTTACTGATGAGAGGAAAAAAAATGAGGGCCTGTTAACTCCGCCTAAATGCACTTATTTTGTCTCATTTATGTATGTTTTCGATAACACGTGCATAAAATGAAGTTGTGATTTATCAAACGTATATCTCTTCGAAATGGCTGGTTTACCTATTCCAGATAATATAAGGTGATGCGGAAATGGCAGTAAAAATGGTCAGGAACGTTCATTTACGCACAAATCTGCTATTCTCACGATTTATAGATAAGGCCTATTGTGAATTGGGTCGCGATGGTTTGCCATTTTTAAAAAGTGGGTCCCCAGAAAAAAAGTTTGGGAAACACTGCATTATGACATACTCTGCTGCACCACTGAAGAGGAAAACAGCCAGTCAGAGGCAATCTTTTTTGTAGTGCACTGAACACAAGCACAGTATTAAGCCTGCCATAAAATACAACCCAACTTGTGACCCACAAAATTAAGTTGCTCGACAAACTTTTGTAAGAATTTACAGCTTTCTGCTCGAGCATGTATATTCCACCAGGCATGATCTAATTTGAATAGCTGCGGCATCCCAAAGGGCTTGAGATCACAGAGACCCTGACAGGATGGTCCACACCTCTGCTGACACCTTAACAATCTGGTCAAGCAAGTTGGCAAACAATTATAGAATGGGACTGGGAGTGGGCAATCAAGAACTATCTCAGACAAAGGGGTATGTAGCAAAGGGCGAGAGCAGTCACCCCAACCAGCCTTGAACCCAGGTCTACGGGGTGCCAAACATGCGACTTTGACCGCGATGCCAAAGAGCCAGGCTTGTTAGTAGGGTAGTCAAAGCACATACTCAACCATAGTGACGGCACTCCGTCACACTGCCCTTCCCTTTGGGAAGCGCACCCATACGCTTCACGCACCAAGGCGTCCCTCACTGAACCTGTTGCCTGTATGATAATGAAGTCACAGCATTGGTTTTGAGTAGGCCAGGATACCATTTTTTGAATAAGCCCAGATACCCTGTAGCAAAGGGGGAGAGCAGTCACCCCACCCGGCCTTGAACCCAGGTCTACGGGGTACCAAACATGCGACTTTGACCACAACGCCAAAAAGCCTGGCTCAAGGGTTCAAGGGTGCTTTGTTCTCTCTCTTGCTCTATACATCCGAAGGAGATGGACGTATCTCTCTTGCTTCGTACGCCCGAAGAAGACGGACGTAAGCCCTCCTTCTCTCTTGCTTCACACGTCTGAACAAGACGGACGCACCTCTCTCGTTCCCGGAGGCCGCACCACGCGGACGGGACACGGACAGCCGAGCTGAAGCCCCTGTCCTGGCGTAGATTCTCCAAGCTAGCGACGCATTGCTAGCGGAGATCAATAAAGCAAGAGCCGAGTTTCAGCGCCCGCAATCAGAGCAGCGCAAACTTGCTACCAGCCGGAGACAAAGGTGCGACTGGATCCATGTCAGCGTGTCTCCTGAAAGAAACCCTCATCCAGACCGAACCAGACCAGCCCTGGCTCCCCGACGATGGAACCGCCAGCGAAACCACCCACGGAACCGCAAGATTTGGACCCCATTTCATGAGCCACAGTAGGCTA